CCCTTCCCTCCCCACCCTTCCCTCGCCCCGATCCCGATACTTACGGTGAGCATGTAAGGCGTGTTCTTGGCTTCCTTCCTGCTGTCGTCAGCGTCGGTGTCCTGTACGGGTCCCGACGGTGTCGTGTCCACAAACACCTCAGCCACAACACGCAACCTACAGGCAGATAGAGAGAGTCAGTGAGAGAGGTGAGAAGGGGGTGAGGACGAGAGGCAGGGAGAACGGTAACACGTCATCCACAACACACAGCATGTAGATAGAGAGAGAGAGAGAGAGAGAGAGAGAGTCAGAGAGAGAGGTGGGAAGGGGGTGAGGACGAGAGGCAGGGAGAACGGTAACACGTCATCCACAACACACAGCATGTAGATAGAGAGAGAGAGAGTCAGTGAGAGAGGTGGGAAGGGGTGAGGAAGAGAGGCAGGGAGAATGGTAACACTTCATCCACAACACGCAGTCTGTAGGAATACCCCCAATCACACACAGAGAGAGAACGTATCCGATTGAGCAACAGAGAGAGAGAGAGAGAGGGGGGGGAGAGTAAAACAGACAAAAGACGGGCAGAAGGCCCGATCAGCTGGTAACTGTCAATAAAGACCATCACAATGTGAGGCCTCAACCACTCGTACAATCGTATGCTTACCGGAGAATGACCGCATTAGTTCAGAGCTATAGTACGCTATAGTACCGCATTTACATATATAGTACCATCGTCGCATCGAAGAAAGCTTGTCATTATAGCTATGTGAAGACCTACACTACAGTAGTAATATGCCGACGACTTCAGTGTTCGACACGGTAATCCCACTCACACAAGATTAGCCTATATCAACACGCTCGCAATCATCACCTGCTATAGTCATGGCTTCACAGGAACTTGCCAATACTTAAGAAGCCAAAGAGTCCAAGGCTTACCAAGTTACCAGTTATAAATGCTTACATGGTGAAAGTTACCAAGGCTTACAGAGTTACTGGATACCAAGTCTTATACCGGGTGAAAGTGATGGGAGCTAGATAGCAAGGGTTATAGTTAGCATACAAGGAACTCTGAGCACATAGATGAAGGCTCACGGCCACCAGCTGGCGTCACGAGTCCGACAAAGATTCCGTTTAGCTAGAATCTCACAAGAACAAAAGCCTGTAGCCATAGTATGCGGCGAACATAGCATGGTAGCTACTAGCTAGTATGGTATAGTAGGGTAGCGCGGTCGTTGCGTGCGCCTTCTAAGCAATGCTGAATACATTCCTCCAATGGCAGGAACGCGCACTTTTCGAACTGCAACGCTGCACGCTGCTTGATGCGGCCACATCTGGAGCATACGTAGCGCAGCGTCCGAGTGGCATTTGCATTAAGATTTTAGATCTAAAAACTAGCGTGCGTTCCTTAAAAGCGCGCGCCCCATCGCATTAATGCTATAAATACGACATGAGGTTTTGAAATGGGCACCCTCGAAGTATGCATGCTTTAATACGCCTCTTATCAACAAGTGCAAAGTACAGTCGTGAATTATTTGGAAGAATACCACTCGAGGCATAAACTGAAGAATTTGTTTGAACATACCCATTAGCCATATACATAGCCATTAGCCATATAAAAGGTTAATATATTTGGACTACGAACATATGCGGCTAATGGCCAGTTACGCGTGCATATATATATATATATATATATATATATCGTATATGTTGTAGTAATGTAGGTAACAGACAGGCTTTAAAATTCGAAGCATCCGTCAACTTATGGCTTCATTTTTGTTTGAATCATTTACATTATTTTCATTTACACCTAGATTGTTTCATGAAATGAAACGGCAGTGAGACAATCCATGTTGGAGCCCAGCGCTGCTAGAAGACCTATGACTAAAGATTTCATGCCAATACTGCGTGCCATTCTGATTCGATACTTAAAAATTGCAATTAGTTAATGCAATTCTAACGACCAGAATAGAAAAAATTATTCCGCAGATGGTTTGTTCTCCAAACAAGGCACGTACTAATGTTGTTGTTTTTTACCTCTTTCCCGTATAATGTCCCCTTACAAAATGCATGGCGATGGTATTGGTCTACGACAAAATTACAATGTACGACTACATTATTTCACTTCTTATGAATAACTACTTCTTTCGTTCTTATTACTTAGATTATTACCTCATACACGGGTGTTTGCGAGTGTATTCATAAATATCATAAAAATATAATTTTAATCTCTCACCGTCGACGAACTAGACGAGTATTACATTGGCTATTTCTGAATTTCTTTATTAGATGATGGAACAGGGCTCACTGCCTGTGTCCGTTGATTGGTGGGATGTGCATATTAGGTGTTGGAATGCAGGTTCGTCGAGTATGTTTCCAAGTTTATATGAGTTCATTACGGGCTGAAACACGTTCAGTGGCATGTTGACATTTGGTAAGAGATGAGTATAGATAGATACATGCGCGTGTACACAGCATGTTAAGTTTGAAGGGTTCTACATCTCAAAATACACGAAGTCAAACTGTATATTACGCAAGGTTTCAATGTTAAATAAACTTCCGTTAGTTTTTTAATAATGTTTCTGTCTCTCATACACTAGTTCATGCATGCAGGCACGCAGCGCGCGCACACACGCACACACGCGCACACGCGCACATACGCAGCGCGCGCACACACGCGCACACGCACACGCACACGCACACGCACACGCACACGCACACGCACACGCACACGCACACACACACACTGTAACCACCAGCGTCATCATCAGCGTCAGCGTCCCCGTCATTGCCAACGTCATCTTAATCTTCAATACTGTTGTTATCGTCACCGTCACCGTCACCGTCACCGTCATCGTTGTTGTAGTCACGTATCGGCTAGTTCTGCTGCTGCATCAATTCCCTCGCAGCACCCTCTCCCGCTAATGAACTTCAAAATTCACCATGCAGAACGCTCCCACGCCCATGCGATATTTCTTCTTTTTAATTACATTTTTCCAATTTTATCTCGCTGGGATTCATCTACATGACAGGCAATCACTCGCTTGGCTCGAAACAGCAGATGCAGCATCTATTAGAGGTACTAGCAGCAGTAGCAGTAGCAGCAGTAGCAGTAGCAGTAGCAGTAGCAGTA